AAGAGAAATCATATAATTAATTATTTTAACAAAGTGCAATGAACCGCAGTTTATTTAAGAGATGATTATGAATAAAAAAAAATTCACTGTACTATAGATTTACAGATTATATTTGTATGTATGTACTGTATGTATATTTGTTTTTGTCTTAGTCTCTCTTTACCCTTTGTTTCCTTCATGTTTTTGCATCCGTTGACCTCAGACACGTCTGCCAGTTCATTTGGGAGTTATGACGCCAAGATTTGTCACCACAGTGTAGTTTCCTGGGTGGGGGGGAGGGGTTCGCAGGTAGCGGAGTAGTGTGAAAGTCCAGCATCTATGCATGTGGGGGTTATGTGTCTTTCTTCTGTTGTTGTCAATTTTACGCATAATCAGACTTGATAATTGCACAGTATTAATGACCTCATCTAACATGTTGAGCACCATCAACGTCACAAAAAGCAACCTCGACATTAAACGTGTCCATGAATGATACACAGCTATGTTCTCCCACTTTTTATGTTGGTTTTCTTTTCTGAACGCATGCTCATTGCGTGTCTGTTTAGTCTGTTTCTTTATCCAAAATGCAAGAGAGCAAATATAATAGGGAGAAACGCACCTTTATTTCACTGGGCTTCTGTTAAGATGAAGAGAAATAGTTTTTTACTTAATTCAGGTCTGAGGCTAAAAGTTAAAATGCAGTTTTTAAAAGAATTTAGACTAAACTATTATTAAACTATAGCCATTTCCCAGTTTAGAGAAAACTGGATATTTTGCAGACTACATTAACTTAGATCACTCTCATGTTTTCTTTTGTCATTATTGTGTAAAAATGCTCATGAAAAACAAGACGAAGACGAAATCTATTTGTGTGCAAAAGTCTTGAACCACCCCTCATTTCTTTGTATTTTTGCTTGGAAAATGTGATTTATTGAAATGTGCAAACATACATGGAAATACATGAAGCAAAAATGGAATTTGTGCAATTCTAACAACATCCATTTTTCAATACAGTTTGAACTGTCTTAGGCAGCTTTCTCATCCTTTCTTTAAGTGATCCTCAAAAGTAGTTCTCCAGGTTTTTGAAGGACATTCAAAGCTCTTCTTAGGATGTTGGCTGCCTTTTGGTCCCACACTGCTTCAGTAATGTTGAGGTCCTGACTCTGGGAAGGCCAATCTATGATTTATTGTCTTCTTATCAGTCTATGTCTGTGAAGGTTCTCAGTCATCCAGCTCATCGTAGTCTAAGGAGCTTGGAAAGAAAAGTGTCTGGACTTCTTTAAGTGTCCTTGAAGACGTTTCACCTCTCATCTTAAAAGCTTCTTCGGTTCTGAAGAAGAAATTTATCAGTCTATCGAGATATGCTCGTACTGCATTTGCAGTGTGATCTTTGCTGTTGCTGGAAAAATTAAGCTGTTGTCAGTCAGACACTTATGTCATGGTCCTTTTCTGTCACTTTTGAAAGGTTTTTCCTTACCCTTAAATTGCTTCCTCAAACTGTGACAGAACCTCCACGTGTTTCGCAGATGGCTGTAGACAGTCACTGTTGGACCTCTCTCTTAGATGCCTCTCTACATATTTACCACAATTTCAACCAAAAATGTCAAATTTTGGATTCACCCCTCCATCAGACCTGAGTTTCAGTCCAGTTCTTGTGTGAATTGGCAGACCTCAGCCTTCTCCCCGTTTCCCCTTCCTTAAGTTTCTCGACAGGCACCTTTGAACTGAGACCATTTCTGATGAGTCTTCAGGGAACAGTAAAGGCTCAGATGCATCTTTCCTGTATAAACTCTTTAATGGATTTTTTCCTGTTTCTTAAAGATTTGACTTTCACACCCTGTCCATTGCTGCCATTTGTTTTGTCTTTTGCTTATCCAGTTTCGTCAGATTCACCATGCAGAGATATGCAAACATTTTTATTTAGAAGATCTTTGGGAATCACCGTGTTGGTGTACAATATGTGGTAAAGATAAAGGCAAGAAAGCCTTCTTTACTTAAAAATATAAAGACATATGGGATGACTTAAGACTTACACAGTACCATAAAGTTTGTGTTGTTTTTGTTTTTTAATGCAATGGTCAATGTGCACATTTCTTTTTTTTTTTTTTTTACACATATCACATCTTCTATTATAAAAGTGAAAAGAATTTGCCCAAAGCATAAATTAAGCTAATTTTTCTAGAAGACATTTTTGCAAATTTGTGTATGTTTAATAAAATGATTACCAATTCTCTTTTTTAAAAATGCATTTCCACCAAGCATGTTATATAGAGAACCACTGACCAAACTGATAAACCAACTGGGAAAGTTTTTAAGGTAATATCTGTCTTAATATTTAAAGGCACTTAGATTTTTCTGAAAAATAAGAAAAACTACTTTGGTAGCACATAACATCTGCCACTACAATTTATATCCTTCTCTGTATTATGAAGGTTTTTACAGATTTGTTTGCTTACAAGACCTCAGACCTTTTTTTTTTTTCAGTGTTTTTTTAAAGGAAGGCTTTTTTTTAGGCTGTTGATAGTATTTTCTAGTACAAGTAGAGGCAGTGGAAAAGATCAGGCCTGATCTTTAACATCATATCTAATGTTTGCTTGTAGTTAATTTGCTGCTTTACAGGCAACAGAAAATTTCCTAAAGCTCGGTCATCTTTTTAACATTCAGTTGCAGACTATAGCCACTGGTGGTAGCTGTTTCCTATTATATTTCAAGGTATATGTATGAGTGCCCTAACGGTCTCTGCAAGCTGCACACATGGACAAAGAGCCCTTCCATCTGCTCAGATGCGAGGGACGTCCCTGTTGTAAAACCGGTCACAGAGAACATCTGCATTGTTTGCAGCTGCGCTCGCTGTTGTTTATCGTTTGCTTGAAAGTGCTCCTATGCAGCAGGCCCACTGCAGTCTGCAGGGACGATCACTCCAGAGATAAAACAGTGATTCACACTCAAAGGTTGTGATGTTCAAATTCTGCCTGTGCACCTCAGAGCCTGATGAAAGAAGAAGCATGAGAACTATTTTTTTTTTTTAAAGTCTGCAGGAAACATTGGGAGCGGGGGGTGGGGCATCAGCTGTAATGGGGGTGGTTATTTTAATATTCTGTGACACAGAACAAACATACAGTCATTTTTTTTCCCTCTTACACGCTCCAGCCTCAGCTGAACAGAGGTCCTCATTCCTCGATCATGTGAATGTCTTCCAGGCCTGTGTTAAACTGGACTTCTGTCCACCTCTATGCTGCTGTTCAAACCATGTGCTGTCCATAATTCTTCTTCTGCCTGAACGTGACACTCTCGTTGCCTTCTCCAGCCAGTGGTTTAATAAAAAAGTGAATGATTAACAGACAAGGCAGCCGGTGACTCTGTGTGCTACATATGAAGCTGCATCAAATGTTTGCTTTTGAGGCAGGACTTCCTCTACTTGACACACTTTCTACTGATACTCACACCAGAGCAGCAATTAAAAACGGGACAATCTTCATCTAACAACTCACCAAGGTGGGTCGGGTTAATATCAGTAGAAAACACTTCATTCAAAACACAAGATGCTAATGGTTCTTAAGCTGTTGGTCATTAACAAAGCCATTACTTAATGAGCAGTAGCTTTGATTACCATTTACCAGCTGTTAAGCATTTAAATCACTCTCAGAGATCCTGATTTGTTTTTAATTCATTCAGAACAACTGTAATGAAAAGAAATATGTTTCTATCTGCAGTGCTATATGTTTAGCAGCATGGCTCTGATTTCTTACCTCCCCAACCTTCTTCACGTATTTAAGGAATACAAGACCCATAGCACAGGAGAGGCTGCGTATCAATGGCAAGGCGCAGGAAAACGAAGGTGTGTTGCAAAGCGGCTTTGCTGACATGATGCTGTAGACTGGTTAACGCACTGTAAAAAATGTCCAACTAGATATAGTAAGTTTTCAGCTGAGCCATTACCTAAACTCCATGGATTACATCTAATCCAACTATACTCACTTGCAAACTTTCCATTTTAGAATTTAGCATCCATTGCTATCCATGCTTTGCTTTATACTTTGTGGAGGCCGGAGGACATTAAAATAAAAATATTGCACCTTAAATAATTAAAACTAAGGACTTTAATGCTGAGTCAGGATTATGTTCTGTTCCAGCAGGAGGAGAAACGGGGTGTGAAAAAATACACACCAGGGTGTGAATAGTACACACTTTGTTTCAGTAGTTTGTAGAAACAGCTTGACCAGCATTACTTGAATGCTTTATGACTTCATCAGTCTCTCGATCATCGTGTAGCGACTCTTCTTCACAGTGTTGTCGGAGGTCTGAGCCTCTGAACAGTCACCCTGACTCTTTTCTTTTTCAGCCATTCTGTTGCATTGTATTTGCTGATGTGCTTGGTATGATTGTCCTGTTTTATGACCCAATTCCAGCTCTACTTTAGCTGTTGGACAGACAGTTTAACATTTGACTCTTTGGCATATACACAAATGCAGGGTAATCAGGTCCTGTGCCTGCTAAGCAAACCCAAATCATCACCTCTCTACTACCGTGTGTTGGTATGAGGTTGTGCTGATACGCCTTCGCTAAATGCGATGTGGTGCATTACAGCCAAACATCTCCACTTTGGTCGTTTGTCCAAGAAAATTGTTCCAGATGTTTTTTGGTTTGTTCAGTTGAAGCTTTGCAAAATAAACAAATAAGGGTTCAATTTGTCATAGATGCCTTCTTCAGTTTAGCAATATTTTTGTTAAATGGAAAAAAATGTTGTTATATTTTAAAATCTGCTATGGATAAAATGTTTTTTTTAAATTATGTCCTGATAAGCAAAACCTTTTAACTGAGCCTTGAATTTGTATTTTTGCCACTTAAGTATTAGAAAAGTGAAACCTTATGTCAATAATAAAATTTAATATATTAGGAGTGTATTAAATACCTTAAATTTTAGTTTTAGCTCTGGACTATAGATACAACAATATATGTATCACCTGGTTTCAGGTCCCTTAACACAATATCGAGAGAAGAAAACCCAAGAAGCAACAGCAAAATATTACAAACTATCTTTATTCTACATTTTTATGTAATTTACTTCAATGTACAGTCTAAAGGATAATTTGTGGAAACACACAAAACACTGTTCAGAATAACATAAATTGATATGCATAAAAACAAAAGTTTACTAAAGGTTAGAAAATGAACAGTGGAGTTCTTGCACCTGTTAATACAGATGCATTCTGGGCATCAGAACACAAGATAAAAATCTTCTAAAGCACTGTAACCTATTCACCAGCCTTTAGTTAGTTCCAAGTCGTAGTGACAGGTTTATGAGATATTGTATAAAAATGAACAAAAAATGTTATTTTTTTTTTTTTAAAGAAAATCATATGAAAAGGAAATGGCAAGGTCTATTTACAGTTCTGTAAACAGAGACCATTGGAAAACACTAGCTTAGAAAAGTAAAAATCCCATGATGCTGATGACAAGGAACAAATTATGATACTTAACATGCTAGTCACATTTCCCTTCATTTTAAGATTTTTTTTTTTTTTTTTTTTTGCAGGCTTACAGTTTGTTTGTTTTTCTCTATCCTCTCTGTGTAAACTACACCGACAGCAGCCTCACATAGAAGTCAAACTGATGCTACCATAATGGCCACAGCGGAGCGGATACTGTTGTTATTTTCACATGAAATGATGCAAAGACAGTCACCTCTTCCACGCTGGAAATGCAGCTGCATCATGTAGCATATCCAGTTATTCTATGTTCAAGAAACAAACATCAGAACATAAAATATAAATATTTCACTTGTAAAAAAAACAAACAAAAAAACAAAGCCTAAACAGCTGTAATATGTTCATATATGTTCAACATGGTTTTATCCAACGCATTAAGCACATTCACCACTACTCACTCCACATCAAGCCAAACCAAAAATCATTCCAAAAACGAAACGGCATGTTCCTTCCCTTTTTGTGGCCTAAATCAAAAGGCCGATCCGACACACTGAAGACAGAAGAGGTCGAGACTTACTTTAAAAAGGTGAGGCAGTTTAACGTTGTTTTTAGTGGATGGTAGGAAAAGGGGGAGAAAAAAGTTGCTGTTTGAAAAAAATAATATGAGGCAGCACTCTACCTTGTGTATGAACACTGATGCCAGTGACATCTGCATTAAAGATCCTGAAAACTTTTTCCATCACCTTTTCTCGATGATCAGCAGAGTCCAGTATGAACAAAATCTGAACAGTTTTAATAATTTAATGGAAGATTTTTTCTTTCAAAATTCTTTTTAAAAACGAGAAATTGAACTAGCAGGGACGTCATTAACTTTTTAAACCAATCAGTATAGAACGACATGCATTCCAATGGCAGTTGTTGGGTAGTTTGGTCATTAGGTAAGTTTGCGTGTGCATTTTAAATTAATCTGATTGGTGCCATTGGAGAGGGGCTCAAACTTCAAGCAGAAGTGTCACGTTTTGTTTCCATCGTCACATTTTCCTTTTATCATAACCCCTACAAAACCACCTCAACCAAAGTTTTCAAAATTAAATAAAATAAAACTTTTGATATTGATTCAAAAATTGTTTTTCCATTTAGGATTTTTTAAAGAAAAAAAACCTAAGCAGAAAAGTCCACATAACACAAGTTGTTTCACTTATTTAAGCTATGAAGTCTATAACAAGCTTCATAGCAATCACACAGTGACTGCATAAATGCAACCTGTCTCCAAACATTTGTGGTCCAACATGGACTGAAGGTATTCAAATAACTAGAGTCAACATGTTGCAATCAATCTGAGCGCATCTCTCTCCAAGTCGCGACTCAGCTGGTTACCAGCTGGTTGTATTCTGGTTATATTCCCATATAACAAGCAAGGTTGCAGAGTGCTTATGTCATTTTGCAGTTCAATCGCTATCCAGCAGCAACTATGCCACCATTTGTGGAAGAATTTCTGAATTTCTATGAGGCTCTGACTGGACTCTGAATACAAGTAGTTAATATGAATTTCTGCGTATGTAAACAGAAAACAAATTTGCAACAGATTTGTGATTTTGCAAATTCATCACCATAACGTCAAAGACAGACTGAGCCCATTTTGCTGTTGCAAACTGATAACAGGTTGACTCCTTTGGTATTTTATCGCCATCTTAACACAAAACACACTTTGAAGAGAGCAACTGACTGTGACTGGTCGCAGACATAATTCCCATAATTGAAGAAATCATTTCAAAGGCAACAATTTGGAAGTTAATTGCACACGGTCACAATCATTTTGGTCGTGCCACATCATATTATGCAGTTTTTCCTACTCCGACTGTAGCGTAATAGAAGTCGTATAAGACGAAGTGTGTAAGGTGTTTTAGAATAAGTTTTCAGGAGCTTTAAGTTTAACAAGCTTGTATTTTGTTGCGACGATCAGAGCAAATGCAAAATCAAGCATTTAATGTTCGAGCACTTCACTCATTTCTGACCTGTGAACACAATCTACAACACATAGTAGTGTTAAGAAGCCCGCTAGCAAAATACTGTAAACACAGTTCATATTTCATCCTCCTATGAATGGCATGATAATACTGGACCTGTGGATAAAAGTCAGCTAAAACTCATTAGACCTTTTCAACTAAGTTTTTTGTCGAAAACACTACTTTCATTACATGCCGAATCCACTTTCATGTTCGTTCCTTTTTCACACACTTCGCAAAATAACAAACTTGAAGACCTTGTACTGTACACCCCCCTTACCATAAAAAAAAAAGAAGAAAAATCTGATAAATGAAATACTCAAGTTATACTTCCAAAACAATCAAGCTGACAAATACTGCATAACAGCCCGCTCATGGTGTTGAACGATTAGCTCATCTCATTTACCTTACAGGTATTTATAGAAACAGTACTGTGTTTCGGGGTAGTCATAGAGACTAAGGATAAAATATAGATACTCTGTCCTCTTTGTTGCTTGGTAACAAAGCATCAATTCAATAGCCTCACTTGTGTACGCCTAACCAAACTCCAAACAAGTCAAAGAAGATATTCATCTGGGTATCGAGTGGTTTAACACCAGCTTGTGCTTCAGTTTTGTCCAACATCTTCTTTGCTTACCGTCACTCAGGATGCTAAAGTCTGAATGAGTCTACCGTGACAGAAACACACACAGAAATACTCTTACATACAAGTTACAGCTCTATAAAGACAAGCAAATAAAACAAAATGGATAAAAAAAAAACTTGAATGTTGTTCCCATGTTGCATATAAAAATGTTTAATGTCTGCACTGATTTTTCGGCACTTACGCTGAAAAGTGTTTTGCCCGTGACTGCAATGTGCATATTCTGTCAGTTTGCGTTACACTTCAAACTACAGTAGAAAGTCCAAACCTGGTGGATTCAACCGTAAACGTGACCAAAACTAAGTGATCCACCAGCAGGACTTAAAACTCAGCTTATAAAAAGATAAAGAAACGTGGTGTGTGACATCTGTTTGAGTGTGTGTGCTCTCTGTCTGTCTGCTGGGAGAATTATACAGAAATCAAATGAATTTACAAATCAAGAAGTTTGTGTTTGTTTTCTTTTTTAACTAAGCTCATACAGGTTTTGTTTAGAGGACCGAGCATGCAGTCTTCTGACAGTCATATGATCTCTTTTGCTACTGGTCCTTTACACTTATCCTCAGAAATTTGAAGAATGTGTACGTGTGTAAGTGTGTGTGATCACACATATGCACACTGGAGATGTTTTCCCCTCTCTGCCTCGCTTTGAAAGCAATCACTACTTGACTCTACTAGGAAAGATAAGAAGGCAGGAACGGGAACATGGCTCCCCTCTAAAGGTCCTATTATATTACTCTTCTTCTTCTTCCTCCTCCTCCTCATCATCATCCTCATCGTGACAGTGAGTGATCTCCTGGGGAGTCTGAGGGAACAGGTTGGGTGGCTTGATCTCGCTGAATGAGCGGGTCAGCTGGTTGCGTTTGCACTCTAGCTCTTTGCAGTCGCTGCAGTGGGTGCGGTTGCGGGTAGCCAGCGGGGACTCTGTGTCGATGTCCACGTGGGTGTGTTCAACTGTTGACTCATGGGGCATCTGGAAGAGGAGAAATAAGAAAAATTGCTAAGCGATAGAATATGACTGGTCTTATGCTCTTGACTAATTCACCAAGCTGTATACAGCATTTTTTACACAACAAGAACACAGTTAACCTTTGAAATGTCAATGACAGATCAGAACTGTAACTTTTAAGAGACAATATTTTAGTATGTGCATCAGTGAAGTGTGGCAATGTGTCTGCATCTTAAGGGTGCGTGGTTTCATTCAATTCCCCCACTTTACATTCAGATACTCACTAGTATGTGTGACGCTCTGAAGAGGTAGCTGAAGGGGTAATACAGCAGGTTAATGAAGGAGGCTGCATACAGGTCGGCGTAACGCATCACTTGTGAGGCAAAGAGAGTCTGTCTGGAGCCACTGCGGAACAGGCTACCCATCATGCCATAGCACATGTCCATGTCATGTGTCACTTTCTACAAAGCAAGAAGAAAAAGAGAAACCTTCAAAATCACGTCAAAAAAGAGGGACACTGATTCATTAACCCTGGAAAGTACGGTTAATAAATTATTTGGGATGTCGTATTTGTTCAGTGAAACAGCTGAATCTGCATCTTTTTCCGACAGCCTATGAGAGACAAACACCGACTGAAAGGGCTCTTTGATGAGGCGGCTTAATGATTAGTTTCTATGAAACAAACAGCACTAAAACCACGTAAGCAGCACATCTGTTGTCATAGCAGCAGAGGTCATTAAGGGTGTACCTTGATTCTCCTCTGGATAGTGCTGATATCTGGCCTTTCATTACTGCTGCTATCCAGATGCCTGAGAAGAAAGCAGGAGAAAAAACGATGAGGACTGGGTGGGGGTGTGGATACTGATATCAGCCTCCTGAAAGATGATGAGTCAAAGAGGTGGCGTAACAGAGAATTGCGCCAGGCTATAAATAACGTCAGTGAACCTGCTTATCAGGTGCACACTTTGACACTTTAGACTTTACCCTATTGGCCCTGTGGGTTTCTGTTAAATAT